TTACATGCTGATTGTAGAGGGTAATGGGTTCAGACACTGATAATTTTTTGCCACTGGCTTGTCCAATTTTGATCCTTTATTCCAGGGGTGCCCACACTTTTTTGCCTTGCGAGCTACTTTTCAAAGGACCAAATCAAAATGATATAACTACAGATAAAATACTAAACATATATTTATTCATATACGGAGTATACCTTATGTAAACACAATATATGTTGGTGCACCTTGCATGACTGCATGAACCTTAGGACACACTACAGTTCAGTACTTTTTTGCTCATTAGTTTACTCTGATTACGTGCACTGAATGGAATCAGCCAGGGCTGCATAGTCCGGACAGTAGCTGCTGGTAGCCAGCCTCAAGCAGACTTCCAAATAGTCATCAGTCATGGTGGAGCGGTATTTGGACTCTCACTCCATGTGAGAAAATGCTGACTCACACAAATAAGTAGAGCCAAATAATGCAGTCAATGGCACATTTCCTCATGTTTGGGCACTTTTCCTCTGTAAGTTCTAAAATGGTCCATTAGCCCTGGACTTCAGCTGATTTTTTTCTTAGCCGTGTGCTGTAGCTTTGTGTCTGATTTAACTTGGAAAAAAGAAGCTACAAATAGGCTATCTAACAAAACAGATAACTAGTTTACTGTATCTGGTGTGAGGACAGGTTTAGCACTCAGACTCTCACTTCTGAGCTGCAATAAGGGCTGTTTTTCCTGGGCACTTTTCCTCTGTAAGTTCTAAAATGGTCCATTAGCCCTGGACTTCAGCTGAATGTCAGTCTGTAGTGTCAATGTCTCATCCTCCACTCCAGACCAGTTCAGGTGAAACAGCGTTGCAATTTTTGATGCGAGTGAATCAACCTCAGTATCTTCCCTAAATGGGCAGCACATAAATGTAGAGACTGGCTCGAGTGAGGCAAAGTCTTGAAAGTGTTTGTCAAACTCTGACCGACAACTGTCAATCTGCTCAGTGTAGCGCACAATGTCAAGTTGCGTACATGCTTTCCATTGCGTCTCCAGCTCTGATGCGAGGTTTTGGAGGTTCCCCACAATGTTGCATTTTTCGTTTGAAAGCATTAACTAAGCTCATTATATTGACACGAGATCTACCGACACTACCTTTGCGATCGACTGGTCGATCACGATCTACGTATTGGGCAGCCCTGGTCTACAGCATAACCAGCACTTCTGTACAAGGTCTCGCATTGACTATATGGTTTATTACAACTTGGCTCTCTTGTTTTCATTCTTATAACCACACAAAAAAGGTTAAGAAAACACAAGAAGCCAGACATGTTCAGAAAACAAACCACTATTGTAAACATCTGTCAGTTTACAGGCTGAACCTTCATCTTTAACTTATTGTAATCACTGTAGTCATGTGTACACAGTTTTCCTACAGCTTCATCTTTAACTTATTGTAATCACCGTAGTCATGTGTACACAGTTTTCCTACAGTGAGAGGTAATTTTTGACATTTCAGGTGCGCTCACTTTATCTGAAAATAAGGTGGTTTACATGCATTTTTGACATTTCAGGTGCACTCACTTTATTTATCTGAAAATAAGGTGGTTTACATGATCTGGTTAAACTGCTTGTTTCCAGTGTGTCTTACTGCTCATGTTTCTTGGCCCTTTTGAAAAGAAAATTCACCACAAGGTCCACTTGGTCTTTCTGGTGCTTTCAGCTGCAGCTCACGTCTTAGAGTTAGTTTTGGCTGAAAGCTCTGGAAAGACCAAGCAAGTCGACCCTGAGGTAAGATATCAGTTTGTTTGTTTTTTTTGTGGTTTACAGTGGTTGTACCAGAGATACTAGTCTTGATCAGGGCACCCGAGGCTTTAGGGTGTGCACATTTTTCACAATACCAAAATATAATATACATCCTAAATGAAAGTGTCTTTGTGTCTAGGTGGTGTACGATACCAACACGCTCTATGTTTTTGCTCCAAGTAACGACAGCAGAAGTCTCTGGGTTCAGAGCCTCAAAGAAGGTCAGCCTCCATTTTATTGTCTTCTGTTTTACTCTGTTGTATTCTGTGAACAACAGAGGGACACATACAGGTGGATGGCTGTTAGAGTTTATACTCTGAGCTGTGCAAAGATGTTTTCACACTTAAAACCACACATCTGAAAATGGTTTTCACACATGGCACTAGGCCCAGCAGCCCCCGCAGTTTCCACTGTTCTTTCTTTTCTTTTCAAAGGAATATCTTACTATCATGCTAAACTAATGCTGTGATAACCTACATAATTGACCTAGCTTAGCTGAAAACTCGGGAGTGTATTTTTAAACTTTGGACAGGTTGTCTTCTTCAGCTTCCTGTCTTTATGCTAAGCTAAGCTAAGTAACAGCCCTACACCAGTCACTGACATGAGGTTTGTATGAAAACGCTGTCCCAAAGTGTTAAACAGACCCTTTCAGAGTCATAGACACAGTACGGCAGCAACCAGATTTTAAAAAGGCCAGTTCAGTCGATGAAACTCAACAGAAATGTGTCCTAAAAAGAATGGAGAGTACAGAAACCAAAACAAAACTCTTGATGTTAGCTGCAACCATTCACGTTTTATGCAGCTACAAATACCTAAAATAATAAAAGAAGCTAGTTTAGGCTGTTTATATAGTTTGGTGACAAGGTTAGCACTAGCGCTAAGCACCTGGAAATCATGGTTACAAAAACAAAAAAAACCTATTCACATTAGTCTCAGACTTGTAATTCTGATTTGAAGGTACTGGGAATTTTTGAAGAAAAGAAACCATCATTACTCCGAATGCATCATTATTGCCTAATTAAAAATAAAATAAAATGACACTAGCACGGCTGATTTGATGAATTTTTTTTTTCTGAGCTGTGTGCTGTAGCTCTGTGTCCGATTTAACTTGAAAAAAAGAAGCTACAAATAGGCTATCTAACAAAACGGATAACTAATTTATCTGGTGTGAGGACAGGTTTAGCACTCAGACTCTCACCTCTGAGCTGCAATAAGGGCTGTTTTTCCTGCCCTGCTTATTGTGCTGACACACAGAGAAGGCAGCAAACAGCAACTTTAACAAACAACAAGAGAGTCCACTTTCTACTGTTAATGTGCTAAACTAACTTGGAAATGACTTCACACACTTTAAACACAACTTAAAAAATCAAAAACACACTTTATTCTCCAGTGTTACAGACACTCTTATGCTCCATAAAAAAGAGACAAGAAGACACATCACCCACTTGCTTTTTACCTTGACCTTTTGTGTGATAGACCTGGAAATATTATTATTTGTTCACATGTGCTGTGTAAAGGAAGATTCTGGTGAATTTTAGTGCACTGATGAACTGATAAGTCTGAAACATACCCATCTGTGTGTGTGCGTGCAGAGATCAAAAACAACCCGGTGGTCTTGGCCAAGTTTCACCCACAGTTCTGGCAGGAAGGGGCGTGGCTTTGCTGTCGCCAGGTGGAGAAGCAGGCCATCGGCTGCGAGGAGTACAACCTGTTTGGAGACAGTGCGTGTGAGGACCCCGAGGCATAATGCATCCCCCAGCCCCTCAAACACTCGAACACTAACTTGAAACCAAACCTAAAGCCAATTGTTCTCTGGACCCTAAAACCAAATGTTAATCTTAAATTCTTTGAAGGAGTGAGGACTGGTCAAAATGTCCTCACAATGCAGGAATGTCCTCACTATGATGGTTTAAAACTGAAGTCCCCACAAGCCCACTAATATACACACACTACTATCACTACACTGTTGCTTTGTATTATTGTATTTTTATTGCTTTGTTTTAACAGAGATAATGCATTATACTGTAAAAATACAACTGTATGAAATGTTCCTAAAACCTGGCTATTTATAATTTCGATGCAGTTCTACAGAGGTTTCTGGCCTAACTTAGCTCAGACTTTTGGTGTTTGAGCTTCACATACTCTGGATGAGTCCACACAACTATCATCAGTTTATTGATAATCATTTTAAAGTATTTATACTAAGTAACCAATGACTCCACCAATTAGACAAAATGTGGTTGAGAAAAAAAGATACTGTGAAGAAAAAACAGGAACTGAAATACTCATGCACAGTACATAGCAGCATGAGGTACTTTTACTTTGTGTAACAGTACATGGTTACTTCCAAATGTGGTCTATTGTAATATAGTAAGTGTAATGCAAAAGTAGGAGACTGATCCTTTTCCGGTGACACTTAAACAGTGTTGCTGCTTTAACTAAGGTATTTTTACAGTGTAGGATCTGAAACACTAAGTGTAAAGAAAAACAGGAAATTAAATTAGGTCACTTAATGCCTTTAGCTGCAGCTGTACAAAAAGCTTCAGGTCTCAATTAACAACATTAGCAACAGCTAGCAGCGAGAGGTCAAAGGTGAGGGGTGGCAACGAAGCTCAAAAGTAAAAATGTTCAGACTTTTTGTTTGGTTAATTGTCTCTGTTCCTCTTTTCCAGTTTCCAGAAAACCATTACCCCCGGTTCCTGGAGAGGTATGTGATGACTAACACATCAGCTGCAGCCAAATCCTACAATCATTTCTTCATTCCTCTTCTTCCTCCTCCTGCAGCTGTGCACACCCTCTCCCCGTCTCCTCCCCCAAGCACCTGAGGATGATTATTCAGATGAAGATGAAGATGACAACGAAGATGAGGAAGTGGTGGTGGCACTGTATGATTTCCTGGGCACCGAGCCACATGACTTGTGTCTGGTGAAAGGAGACGAGTATGTGATCCTGGAGAAGTCAGACGTGAACTGGTACAGGGCGCACAACAAGTACGGGTGAGTGTGGCTACGCCGTATTCGATCACATGTTTTGGTCAGCACCTAAAGTTATTGGATAGATTGACATGAAATTTGGCTTTTAGGTTTTCTCCACTGTCGAAGTAATTGAATGATAGTTATCTGTACATGCAAGGGCACAGTACAGACAAGAACTAGGAACTGATTTGGTTTATTTTAAATAAAGCCAGTTTGATAAAATGGAAACAAAAGGTCAAAACTGAAGCCCTCAAATTATGGGAAGTGAATCCCCACCCTCCCATAAAAACCGTGATTATCTCCCAAGTAAAACTACTACTACTAAATAATAATAATAATAATAGGTGAGAATTACATTATACAATTAAATAAAATTGAAATTAAATTATACAATATAAATTGAAATTATATTAGAATTAACTTAGTCAATTTAAATAATATATCTACAGCCTCATCTGTATTTTGTATTTATTACAAATTAGCTAATGATAGCATTCTAATGTGCTTATCATACTAAAGTTAGCATTTAGCTCAATGCTATGTCCATGTGCGGTGTTACAGAGCTACTAGCATGAATAATACACAACAGAATCATCATGGTTCACTCTATAAATATTTCAGACACAAATATATTTGTCATTTTGCATCAACGCTGACAGCTGTAGTGTTTGTAAACATTTTTAGGCCGACTGGTTGGTTAAATGTGCTTTGGCGTCTGTTTTTAACCATCTCCAGTTTGACTTTATGCGCTGAACACTGTGATGAGAGTGAGTCTGGGCTGCTGACTGGTTGGTAACTGTGTTGAACCCTAGTGTGTATGTGGTCCAACAGTGGACCTACTGTGTTTTCCTAACCTGTGTGTGCTTCACAGCGAGGAGGGCTACATCCCCAGTAACTATGTAACAGAGAAACAATCCGGAAACCTGGTGCAGTTTGCGTGAGTCTGTTAATCATTTTCATCTGATTAAGCTGCAGGACTTTATACCTGATGATGTAACAGTCGACACGGGCTGAATCCAAATGTCTGAACTTATTCACACTTGTTGACTGACAGACGTCCTAATCCACAATCTTTCAAATCTACAAGCAGTTTCTGCAGATTGAGGACATGTCAAACTAAAATGAAGTTGGACAGCTTTTTATTTTTCATCACACAAATGTACCATGATTATTTGAAGACATATTTTTCATATATTCTTCCTACAAACAGCTGAAGTGAAATCAGATCAGAAGTGCTAAAAACTCTCTGTCAGGATCTCAGTACTGGTTTGTTAATGACGGAGGTATGAGGGACATTTATCCCCCAGCAGCCCGCGACCATGCAGACATTCAGACTTTCAGTGGGAGGACATTTTGGTTCAGCTGATTTTTACATTTGCACAGACAGATCTCTGTCTTCTGGAGCTTCTAGAGGACTGGGGGGTAACAGAGATGTGTTTGTTCTAGTTGGTACAGTAAACAAGTGAACAGGAACAAGGCGGAGGAGCTGCTGAGGAAGCAGGTGAGTCTTTACTTTTGTTGTTTGTTGTTGTTCTTTTTACTTCCTGTCCTCCCTTTTTCATTCCTTTTCCATGTTTCTACTGTATCTTCTTGTGGTCCCTCTTTAACCTTTTTCAGACAGAGAACCCAGTATATTGCCATTAAGTCGATCCTTCATTCTGATGCTTTGTTTATTTGTACTAATGGAAATGTCATTGGGATCTTGTTGACCAGGGTTGTTTTTAGACAGCTACTGGCATCAGAGACGTGACCTTTAATGTGACACAACACACATAGGAAATACAGCTGTATCTAAAATTAAGACAAGAAGTATCGATGTTGATTTGTGAGTCTACGACATGGTTTGACAACATGTACAACATGCTGATGTTTATGGACTCATATGCAAAACTACCTAGTTGGGGTTAGGGTCAGTTTAAGCATCATGTCACAGAGGAAACATATCTAGAAACATGTGATCTAACATTAGCTCTGCCTTTACACTATCAACTGTCTGATGAAGACAAAACAGCTCCGTCTGTCTGTGTCGCCCCCTGCAGGACAAAGAAGGAACCTTCATTGTCAGAGACTCCAGCACTCCAGGAACCTACACCGTGTCTCTCTACGCCAAGTCTGCCATAGGGTAATGGGACCGATCGTGTCTGGCCCTCTACACAAAGTAAAAGACACCAAACATGAAAGTGCAGTGACACCTGCTTTGTGCTTGCAGGCAGGGAGGGGCAGTTATAAAGCATTACCACATCAAGGAGACTCACGGCTCACCTAAACAGTTCTACCTGTCTGAGAAACACCAGTTCAGCTCCATCCCTGAACTGATCGAGTACCACAAACACAATGCAGCAGGTAAACAACATAACAATACACTGTAATATCTCTCTACTGCACAACTGGTCAGATGGACCTGTGCAATGCAAATTAAATATTTCTAGATATTAAACGTTAATTTGCAGATTTTGTTATAGCACCCAGTGATTTTTCAGTGTTGCAATCAAAAACTATGGACATTTCAATGGCTTCAGCTGTGCAGGTTGGTATGGAAGAATTTTTTTTAAACAAAAGCGCAAAAGAAAAAAGGGCAAATGCACTATTATTATTATCCAGAAGCTTCTTGACAGCATCATGTGTAGTGAATTATAATAATACTTGTCATTTTCTCTTTTAAATTTTATTTCCCTGTTAATTTACCACCTCCACGGGTTGTGTTGTCATTTTGTCTGATGTTGGTTGTATCCTCATGTAAATAAAGAAGCAGCCGTTGGATGAAAATGTAAATCCATCGATAAGGCAGCTATACTGTAGATGGAGTTTGAGGTCTAAGCTTTAAAGTTTGCTTCAAGCTGAGACCTTCTTCTGTGCATTCATGCCTTTATTTATTTACGTCTGTGTGTCTCAGGCCTCGTGACCCGGCTGAGGTACCCCGCAGGAGAACAGGACAAGTCAGCTCCGTCCACCGCCGGCTTCAGCTACGGTGAGTCCTCACTGAGCTCTGCAGGTTTGGCTTCATGGACGAACATGTTCCAGTTCAGTGAAGTTTGTTAAGTGTTCAAAGTCAGATTCACCAAACTCTCCCAAGTGTGAAGACCCGTTGTGTGTTCATGAGGTTTGATCATTGGCGTAATCAGTCGGCCTAAAACTGCCATGTTGGAAATCATTCAGATGACATGAGGATTGACCCTGTGCAGAAAAAAGTGTCTGTTCAGGACAAATCTCTCCATGTTTACTTTCCACTTACCTCCCCCCAGAGAAGTGGGAGATCAACCCCAGTGAGCTGACCTTCATGAAGGAGGTGGGCAGCGGCCAGTTCGGCGTGGTGAAGCTCGGCAAGTGGAGGGCTCAGCACAAAGTGGCCATCAAGACGATGAGGGAGGGAGCCATGTACGAGGAGGACTTCATCGAGGAGGCCAAGATCATGATGTAAGGGAAAGGTGGAGAAGGGAGAGAGAAATGGAAAGCTAGATGGTCAGACATTGAAGAAGGTGCATGATGCCATCTGTGTCCTCTGTTGCCCTCTACTGGAAACAAGTATGACCTGCAGCAGCATGACTTGCAGTTCACACAAGCTATAAAGTCACTTTTCCCTTTGTAAAGAGATGGAGAGAGCAGATAGTATCAGGAGAAGCTCATGAATCAGCACAATACTGACTTGGAACAGGATATCTTGTTCATTTTTGCAGTAGGACAGTGTCTTTATTTCAACCTCACTGTATAAAGTTGATGATAGATGACAGAGAGCACTCAGGTAACGTGGACCCAGATTGGACAAACCAGCTTCTGATTTCAAACTATTAGCTCCTGGTCACCTTTTGACCTGCTCTCATCCCCAGGACCTCAAATATTAGCACTTTGTCTAGTGGCTCCTCACACAGATGCCAAAAGTATTACATGCATGGTTAAAATGATGAGCACAGGCCGTATCTGCTATACACACAGAAACTAGATCGTGGCCTGGGTTAAAATTCTTAGCCATGTAAATGCAACTGAACCACTGTCCTGTGGGAAAAATTCTTAGCCATGTAAGTGCAACTGAACCACTGTCCTGTGGGAAAGCACACTGTTTTCTGACCCTTCCACCCAACCTCTCTCCTCCTACATACACTTTGTCATGTCAGCATCAAATAGTGCAGGGTGGGTCCACACCGGTCTCTAGTGAAAACCCTGTGTTTCAGTCTGACACCAGGTAACAGACAAAGCGTCGGTACCCGACACCCTGGAACTGAGGACAAGCTGTGCTTTTTAACAAACATGTAGCATTGTACATTTAGCTCTGGGAGATCTGAGGTGGAACAGAAGCCTTGTGATTGCTGAGTAACGCTGTGGTTTGTAACATGGTTTAATTAGTTGTTTATGATTCAAGTAGGAATCGTTAACACTTAGAGCCTCCGACTGGTCTGGATCTGCTGGACTCATCTGATTCTCACTGGATGTTTTCTCACGTTGTTGAGCAGCTGAAGATTAAAACTGATAGTGAATCTGGAAACTCCAAAGAAGGAACAAGCCAGAGGAAAGTACAAACTAGGCACTTACTGCTCAGCATGCGTTGCACCCTGGCTGCAGAGCGAGAGCCAAGTCGCCCTCTGAGCCCGTCCAGCCACAGCAGCTTTTACAAGACAGAACAATAATATTAAGGTGTAGAAGGCGCTCCGGGTTTCAGTGGGTAAAGCCTGAGGCAGTATGTGGCTGATTGAAACTGATGAAACCCTGTGTAGACAGGGTGCTAGCTGGGTCTGACATGTGTCTGTTTTCTCCAGGAGACTGTCCCACCCTAATCTGGTGCAGCTGTATGGTATCTGCAGCCAGCAGCGGCCCGTTTACATTGTCACAGAGTTCATGGAGCACGGCTGCCTGCTGAGCTTCCTCCAGCAGCGGAGGGGCAGCTTCAGCCTGGGGTCTTTGCTGAGCATGTGCCTGGACGTCAGTGAGGGCATGGAGCACCTGGAGGCCAACAGCTTCATCCACAGAGATCTGGTAACATCACACTACTGTTTAGTAGCCAACGCTTTTGTTGTCAACGCTGCCCCCAAGTCAACAAAAAAAATCTGTTTTGCAGGTTTAAGTCCTACAAACCTCAGCTTAGGGTAGATATGTGTAATATAGGAGAGCGTTAGCCTTGGTTAATATATGATTTGCTTATTCCTTCCCATTTCCCTCCTGCCATTTCCTCCCCTCTGAAGGCTGCCAGGAACTGTTTGGTGAACGAGGCTCTGGTAGTGAAGGTATCGGACTTCGGCATGGCCAGGTACCAGGTTGATTCATACGCATTTAAACTTCGTTGCCTTTTATTTAAGGTAACATACAACAAATCAGTAGGTGCAGTCTGATATGTGTCATTTAAATGTTGGTGTGTAGGTACGTGTTAGACAACCAGTACACCAGCTCATCAGCTAAGTTTCCTGTGAAGTGGTCAGCTCCTGAGGTGGTTAACTTCAGCAAATACAGCAGCAAATCGGACGTCTGGTCCTATGGTGAGTGTGTGTTACAGTCCAAGTACAACCATAAGAGAAACACCACGACAGTATCAATATCATGATGCAGTGGTTGAATGTGAAGTACATTTACTCCAAGTTGAGGTTCTTGTACTCTTTTTTTACTTGTGTACTTTTATTTGCATGCTAATTTACATGCAAATACTTTTCAGGTTTTTTGAAAGTGAAATTGTGAATAAAATCAGACTGATGGAAACTCCCCTATGTGGTTTTATACAGAAAAATGTAAACGTGATGATGTTCATTACTACAGTGGTAGCAGGTGTGCCTAATAAAGTGGCCACTGAAGATGTGTTGCCATGTGGTGAGCTAACGCTGCTCTGATAAAGTCTCTGCTGTTTGTGTGTGTGCTTGTGTATCCAGGTGTGCTGATGTGGGAGGTGTTTACAGAGGGTCGCATGCCGTTCGAACAGCATCAGAACCACGAGGTGGTTGCCTTGGTAACCCAGGGTCACCGCCTCTACCAGCCCAAACTGGCCACGCCTGCCATCTACAACATAATGCAGCTCTGTTGGTACGAGGTGAGAACCGAGGGAAACAACTGCGTCTGCATTTTATCTCAAGATATTTCAACTGAATAGATTACATTCTGTGAAGTACCTGTCAACTCAGATGGTGCAAAGTTGGCACCATTTTAGCCTATATTTGTCAATGTTTTGGAGCAATGTGTACGCCAAATTTAATATTAATAGTTAGTCTTTGCTATGTACTCCTGGATGCCCCGACGACTGTCAGTTAATTACTTTAATACTGAAGAAAACGTAAAACCCTGATGAGTCTCAGGCAGGTTCTGTGTTCTGATTCCTGCACCATTAACTGTCTCAGAATCTCAGAATTATGACTTGGTATCTCATAGTTACCAAAAACGATTTCATAATTACGAGTCAGGATCCTCCATTTTTATCCTTTGGTGTTTACAGTGTCCCTGTACAGTCTAGATAAGAATAGAGAAAAACGTTCAAGTGGGAAAATGTCTCTCTGACATGAAGCGTTATGTATCAAATACATTATTAGATATGACATTATAATATTGATAATACTGATGCAGCAGTGGATAAACAGCATTTTACTGTTCTGGCTGCCTGAGGTGGAGCCAGTTTTCACTACATTAGAGACAGCTCAGTTTAACAGTACAATTCAACAGCAGCAGATGCTTTTAGTTAACGTTACATCTCAATGAGATTTTGAATGTTTTTTTTTTACTGGCTCTCTGTAACATCGTTAACGTTGTTACATCTCAATGAGATTTTGAATGGTTTTTTTTTACTGGCTCTCTGTAACATCTGGATTCATGGCCTGTGTCCTCTGTCTGTAGAGACCGGAGGAGCGTCCGTCGTTCTTACAGCTTTGCATGATGATCTCTGACACTCTGGAGGATGACGACCTTCCCTCAAACTGACTGACCAGTCAGCTGCAGCCATGTTGGCCCCTAAACTCCGGCTCCATGACTTTAATAACCGGCCATTTTCAGTGGTGGTGTGGCGGTCATTGTCTAAAGGTGGGGGCTGACTTAACTTAACTGGCCAAAACCTTCAAAGACTGGACAGGCCAAACCTCCAGCAGCTTGAACACACACCTAACGCCTGTCTGGAGCAAGTGGAAGCTCTGGCAGCGACAAGCCAGTAAAACTCGTGAGATCATTGTTTATACCTGTCGATGTCTGCACTTCAGTTTATGCTGAAAAGAGTCTGGGTGAGACCCTGGATGGAGAGACGTGGACGACGCTGCCTGTGGGGCGACAGGTGTACAGGTGTTTGAACTGATGGTAATGTTGGAGAGGCGTTCATTCTCATGACACAGTTCAGTCAGTGTTTCGTCCACTCAGTTGTCCAGTGCACTTTAACCTCTACAGCCCTTTTGAAAATCACCATTCAAGAAACTTTATGGTTAACGTACAGACATGTTTAAATAAATCGTTATGGGAACGAGTGGCAGTGGCCGGTTCTTAAACTATAAGATTAGATCTTTACATGACACAAGCTACACAGTTTTATCTGACGACTAACCCAGACCCAGCAGTTACGTGTGTGTCCACCTTAAGACAGAGGAGAACAGTGTGAACACAGTGTGCTGTCGTGAACTGACCCGTCACGCCAGCTAGTCGACTCATCCGCCAATCATCTGTATTTAGACCTGCCATCGCCGCTCTGAGTGACAGCAATCCAGAACCGAGGCTGCGTTCACGCCACAAACTGCTGCTCACGTCACATTCGTTTCAGGATGACGGACACCAACATGAACTGACAGCGATGAAGAAAACATTTAACGGGCTTGGGAAGGTTCAGTTCTCACCTGACCATGACACTCCAGTGCATTCTGGGTCTGCCCCACTGTTTCGTCCCAGTCGAGCGCAAGTCAGAGACCTGTCAATGACACGGGGACACGCACATATTTGAAGGCACAGCACACAATATGAAGCTTCATGTTTGATTTGATTTGATTTGATTTCTTCTTTCAAACATGTAACAACAATCAATATGTCAACACACATAATTCCACACATATCCACAAGTATATTATCAATTTGCTTATACCTAGTACATGCTTGAACGGAGTAGGAAGAAGTTAGACTTATCTAGTCCTACCCCATGACATCATCTTATCATCATTGGTTTGCAAGCAGTATCACTACATGGATAATTTTGTTCTGCACCACGCTAGTGATATACTAAAACACCACACTCACAATGTTTCACCTGAACCACGGTCATAGCTGGCATTAATCATTAAGCCTGTTCTTGCCCATATCTTGATTGACACATACCTTTATATTTATGTTTAAACTCATCAATTCTCTTATTGTTTTTTATTTCCACACTTAAATTATTCCATAGTTTTACCCCACTTATAGAAATACAGAATCTTTTTTATATTAGCTCCCCCTATTTTCACTTGCAGTTCGTTATCTATTCTACTATTCCCAAATACCATAAATTTAGTTTTATCCAAATTCAGAGATAGTATATTACTATCACACCATTTCTTTATCTTCTCAAGTTCCTGTGAAACCCGTCCAGATAGTTGCTGTAGGTTTTCACCCAATGCCCATATGGTAGTGTCATCAGCAAACAAAACCACTTTCACTAAATCAGAAACCTTACATATATCGTTAATGTATAATATAAATAATTTAGGTCCCAAAACAGAACCCTGAGGCACTCCACATACAAT